ATGATCACGACCCATCCGGAATTCTAGGTGGAGTTCAAATTTTCAATAGCTTGGTATAGCGCGCACTGTCCATTCTCTAGGAGAGATTAGTGGCATTGCCCCATTGTGAGAAGACATGACGCCCTTCGGAGGATTAGGATCCTCTTGAGGTTCCTAAGGTTAAACCAGTTAAACCAGTTAAAACCACTGTCTGAGACAAAAGTCGATCATTTCTCTTATGGGGCGTGAGATGCGAAAAGTGGGGGAGTGGGGATGAGTAAACCAATGAAAGGCACTAGGTGACTTTCGAGGGCCACTGGTCGGCAGTCCTGTACTTTAGACAACTGCCCTCGAGAAAGACCGGCACATGCGACGATCGGCTTCTATTCTGTCTCCCTTTTTGATCTTCCCAAAAAGGCAGGTGTGTGCTGACTCAGAATGGACCTGCAAATGAAGTCGACTGTGGTAAATTGCGGTTTCTGTGTCAAAAAACACTACTCCGTACTTGGCGCTACCTTGGCTTTTGGCATACGATGTCACGGATCCGATCTCAATCCACGGCTCCACCTGGGTGATGACATCCATGGCACGGGAGGTGATTATATCTTGACTTGCTCATTTCTTCTCCTTTATGGACTCAATTCAGTATGAAATAACATGAGTGTATAGGTATCTCTTGTTGTCGAGGATTACCTCTTGATGATAGGATCTGGTGATGTAGTGATCTACTTGAGAGTAAACCCGTACCTGCTTTTCGCGGAGGGTTTGGTGAAATCATGACTCTTGATGTTTCATTCTCCGTATTTCTCCGCTCCCCCGAATTTCATCGTCTCCTTTTTTTTCCATTTTCTTCCATTTTTAATTTATTCCTTTCCCATTTTCCATTTCCTGGGTCAGCTAAACCAAATCCAGAAAATTTAAAAAAAAAAAAGAAAGCCGAAAATTCAAAGGTAAAAAATGAAATATAAAATCACATTAAAAATAACGCTCCAAACATAATGTCGCATGTCATATCTGTCATTGATACTCCAGGCCTCAGTATTCTACCATCCCAAGTACTCTCCGGGTTCAACCCTCCGAGGTTTTATCATTAACATTAACATTAAGCCATTAGACTCCCGTCTATACCATCTTTTTCTACAGGGGCCGAACTCGGTATAAAATTGACAGACTATAACAACGGAAGAGCATCTCATATTGGATCATTCAATAATGTAAAATCCTCCAAATAATCTAAATAATCTTAATAATCTTAATAATCTAAATTATCGAATGACTATCACACTGTGCCATGATTTTTTCCTGTGGAGTTATCACCACTCAGACCTTCTCTTTTTCCCCCCTTCTTTTCTTACTTCCCCTCTCTTACACTTAATTAGCCAGGGTCCCCATTTAGGTACATAGTTATTCCCTTCCTTTTCCTCTCTCAGTGGAGCCAAATCAAAAAAGAAAGCTTGGGAATTGCCGCAACTCAAACCGTGGACCGGGTTTCTAGTAGATCCCCATCTTTTTTTTTCTGATCGAATCGGTGCAACCTGTTGACTCGCTGACTTGAACTGGAAAGGCCCGTGCTTCTGGCCGATCACGATCCCTGGGAATTTCTCCAACTGAGGGGTCCCAACTCAAAAACCTCCTCTTCTTCTCCATACCCTGGTCGATCTCTTAGCTTAATTCTTTTTCCTTTCTTTTTTTTCCCTTTTAGCACCCTTTGGTCAATTTGATCGGGGAACATATCACTCGCAAAAGCCCGGGGATTGCTGGGATTGTATCTCTTTCACACTTTACATCATGGTAAACGGGACCGCCGCCGTGTTGGAGCCCACATTTACCGGGTATGTCGCAACCACTCAAGACGCCTTGATCCTCTTCGAGGCCTGCTTGACCGGCGTATTGCATCACGTCCCCCGCCGCCCTCATGACAGAGAACGGAGTCATCTCGTGCGCAGCGGCAGCGTCTTCATCTATGAGGAGAACGCATCCGGCATCAAACGCTGGACCGATGGAGTTACCTGGAGTCCGAGTCGCATCCTGGGGAATTTCCTCGTTTACCGTGAGCTGGACAAGCCTTTTCCTCCTGGGGAGAAGAAGCGCGCCATGAAGAAGGCCACACGACGGCCAGTGCCGGCTGGCCGGCCCGGCGAACCTTATCCACGACACGATAATAGCCAAAGCTATTCTCCCACGTCTCCCAGTTCGGCCCCCTTCGCAGATCGTTCGTCCCATCAATCGGAGCTCGAACGGGCATTGGTTGGGTCCCTGGTAGATTCATACGGCTTCAAGGACTCCGGGTTAGTCAAGAAGACTATGAGCGTGACGGTTTTGGGCGTGACCCACCATTTGGTCTCATACTACAGCGTAGAGGACGTGATGCGCGGCATCCTCAGCCCACCATCCATGGTGGATTCCCTACGCTTTATCCGACCCCGCACAGAACTCACCCAGAAACAAAGCTTCCGTTCCCCAATCGACGAACTAGAAGCCAATGCCGTAGAAAGCCAAGAGCCTCCCCACGCCGCTTTATATGGATATCGCCCGCAGATGATGGCCCCACCCACTTACGCCATGCCGAATCCCTCAAACGACTTCTACATGCACCCCAGCCCTTATGCCGCCACACATCCCCCGCAGCAAGGCCCGATCCAGGGATACTCGATGGGCGCACCGATGGCAGGCCAATCTGCGCCAAATCCGTACCTGCCAAACCCCGGCCATAATGCCATTCCCCCAAAACAGGAAGACTACCACTCCTTCCGCGCAGGCCCTTACGGCAGCAGCATGGACTCAATGAGCGCCCACAGCATGGCCTCCATCCCAGGCGGAATCAACGCAGGACTCCCCAGTTCGCTCAACGAACGCAGATCCACCTCGGAACACAGCCCTTCGGCCTACCGCAACTCCTCCATCTCTTCGCGCAGCCAAGCAACGGACGCCACTTCCCCCATGGATCCATCCACCCCGGCCACCTACTCCCGCGGCAGCTTCAGCATGTCCGGTCAACTGGAAACCCAACACCAAGCACTTGATCGCAATATGCCTGGTCTCGATCCTAATGTTCCTCGTCGCGAATCCAATCCCATCCATCCGTCTTACTACGCTACGGATCGCTCCCAGTACTACGTACCCGCGCCTTACGCTGCCACGCAACCCATATCAACCTGGACAACTACGGCGGCGACACAACCTCAAATGGCGCAACCTCAAATCTAATCTCTTGATACCTTTCCATGTCTTTGGTGTTACTCATGGCCATGGAGCGTGGGAGTCGGGGTGGAATTTTTGCTTGTTTTTTTTTGTTTGTTCTTTTATATTTGCTTTGGCCTGGAGATAGACCTCACGCTTCTGTTCTGTTATGTTTGGGAGGAAAACGCCGTTTTATTGCTACAATATGTACCTGACAGCGGCTGTGCTCGTCTCTTGTCTATATGGTTATGGTCTGTTTGCTTGATGGTCTCTTACGGCGGTGGCTTTTTGTGCTTTTTCTATGCTTTAACTTTACCCCTTTTTGTTTTTCTTTCTTCCCTTCCGGTGGCTCTCTGATATTGATTCTGTTCTGGGAACCAGGGTGGGTGGCGTTCTTTTATTATTTACGATGTCATGCAACAACCCGATAACCTCAAAACGGTTCTACTTTTATTTTACTACTCCTTTACTTCTTACCTTGGGACTCTGACTCCTACATTTCACTTTCCTCCATGATCTCTATGCTCGATCTATGTTTATTCGCTACTAAGACTGCTCCCTGTATGTTTGTCTAGTGCGATCACAAACGATGTCACTGGTTTTTTTTTCCAACGTCTGGTCTGGGCGGATTCCAGTTCTTGATTCTTGATTCTTGATTCTTTGTTCTATCCAGTTCCACCGGGACAGGGTTTAGTGATTCCAATCTCACCCCATGCCCACTGGTCAAAAATTGCTTCTACATGTCCCTCTCTTCCTTTCTTGGTTCTGGGACTGGGACTTGTTCTGGCTATCATCAACATCTGCATGTACTTCAAACTCGATTCCCCGTATTCGATAGTATGGATTATAGGCTCTGTGCATTAATGGTGGTTGATATGTATCATTCCCTAATTAGCTGCTTCTACCTGGCTCTAAATCTTTCTAACTACTGTACTCTTTACTTTACCATCTCTCTCTATCCTCCCTGCTCTGTGTGCATGTATTAGCATGATAGATACGGTATGAGTTACAAGACCACGACAGATGTCGTCAAAGAATCGCTTGGGCATATTCCGCGGGTCCCTTTTTTATGCTTTTTTAAGGTTAATATTAGCTTGCATTAGATATATTCTCTTTGGAGCTTGTTTGCTGTGTTAAATAGTTAATCTTATTGCTTTACTGGCATTTGGCCCTGTTCTACGCCCCATTTGATTTTTACATCAAGGTGCAGCTTCACTTTTCTGCTGCGGCGCTCTTCGGCCACAATTAATAGTCCATTTGGAAAGCATAGTGCTTGAAATCAAGTAGAAATACCCGGTTATATCAGCTGTCCATGTACATTCCTCACTATGATTACAGCTTCCTACCATTTCTAACAAATGCATAGTCAAAGGTCTTTACATTATAACCAAGTGTTATTTATGCACCATAATCTCCTCAAATAGTAACAGAACTGACCTACCACGAATTCGTGTATCGACAATGTGTTTATCAAATAAACAGTTCCACAAATTGATATACTAGAACACAAACACGTATCCACATGGACTATGATCGACAGTAAGACCAAAGTACGAAGGACAATACACACCTTATACACACCTTATAAGCAAAAAAAAAATTCAAAAAAATCAAGACTTGTCAAAGAAGAAGAATGATGAGCATCCGACACAGCACATCTCACCCGGACTAAAGACCAGACGAAAGAAAATGAAGGAAGGAAGAAAGAAAGAAAGAAAGAAAGAAAGGAAAAAACTTCCTACCTGCTATTCAGTTCGACAAAAGACCTTAACCGACTCCTTTCCCGCACCGCGCCTCGAAGTCCCAGATGTATGAATCGGCGTCCTCCACCGCCGCAGCATCTAATACTCCTCTTCATCACCCTCCCCCTCCACAAATTCCGAAAGAGTGCGGCCCCACCACTGCGAGTGCATGTCCGTATGCGGAATCATCGATTCTGTCAAGCTGGGCGAGGTGTTCATGAAGGTGGCGTTTGATGCTCCGCTCGCCGCGCGCGCGGGGAACTGCCGCACCTGTGTACGCCGTAGGCTTGATGTATGACGTGGGGGACGGGGGGAATGGCCTGGGCTTGTTCGCGCCAGGTTGGTGAGGTGGGTGGTTGTGGGATCGAGGTGGAGGTGGAGATTGAGGGGGATTGTTATGTTGGCAGTTTGGGGGAGGGTGGAGGGGGATTTTGGTGCTGGGTGAGAGTGAGGATGGGGGGAAGAGTGGCCTTGGCCTTGTTTTTGGTTCTGGAGAGATACCTGCTTGCGGGATTGAGGGGTTTCCTTCGGCTGGGTTGTCCAGAGGGTTTTTAGGGTTGTCTGTAGGAGGTTGTTCTGCCGGGAGAAATTGCTGTTTTGGAGAGCCAGGTTGTGGGTCTGCAGCTGTTGTTGGTACGGGATTGGGTTGGGAGGCCCGTACTGGCCTACGCAGGTGCCCTGAAAGTGATTGTCAGGGGTGCCGGTCTCGGCTGGAATTTGGATCTGAGAGAAGTGCCTCTTAGTTTCGACTCACGTTGTGCTCATTCGGTGATTCAGTTGTCTCTTGGTTGGAGAACATACCTGACGGCTGAACTTCCCTCCTGGCATGGCGATGTATTCATCGAACATGCCCCCGAGTTCTGCAAAGTTGAATCCGCGCACCGGATCCGCGGGCTCAAATCGCTGTCCGACTTCTTGTTGGAAATCGACGCCCCGACACGGCAAAGGTTGGTACTCGGGCAGTTTCAGCAGCAAGGATGGATAATTGCCAATCATAGCGTCGATGACGGGGTCGACATCGATGGACAGCGAAATGTTGCTGTTTGTCGTGAGTTTCTGAATCAACATGACAAAGGTGAACTCGCGCGGCAGACCAGATCGCTGAAAATTGTTCTCTTCCATGGACCAGACGATTTTGCCAGCTTCGACATCGAATTCGCGACCAGCTGGGCTCTTCAAAGTACGTGCGGAGCCTTGGATGCGCATCATCTCGTACCGCTTGTACCGTCCACTGAGGCTCCCCGAGGGAACAACGCTTGCGCTGACAGGTAGTTCCGAGATTCCGAGGGACCCAGCCAGGCTGAATTTCCACTCCATGGTCTCCGGGGAAACAATGCCGTAGAGCAGGTGCGGCGCGTGCATAAGGAAGCGTGGGTTACCGGGCGCATGACAAGGGCAAGACTTCGAACTTGTAAGATCACAGTTTCCCCGAACTGATACACTAATATTGGCGGACCTGATACGGTGCGTGATGGTGTGCGGCGAATGAAAGGTGAATGCAATGGCAAGAAAATCTACACATTCAGCGCCCTGGTCCGAGACGACGGCGCTGGAGTAATAGCCATGCTGAAGTCGTTGAACGTGTGCAGTAATATACGCATCGCCAGGCAGTCGGCGCTCATATATGAGAGCACGGTTGATAGTAAGGCGTGGATTCGCTATATTTGGATCTGATGGTTCCTTTTCTTTGACTGACGGTACACTGTGGATTGGAATCAACAAGCGTGAGTCTGAGACACACCCGTTTTGGACAGAAGTAAACGACATCGTGAAGATCGCAAAGCGACAAGACCGCAGTTTCGTTCTTGCAGGCTTGTCTTGTTCTCCATCTGACTCTAGGGCTCCTTCTAGACGCGGACACGGGTAATTTGTCTAGACCTGCGTAGCATATTGTCCTGTCTGATCTTTCGGCTAACAAAACTAGATATAAGGAAATATTTCCGATCGATGATGATTTTAATCACCTGGGGTTCTAGGTCACAGGGGTAGTATAGGCTATCAGGTGAGCATAGGCCTGGTCACCATGATCATCATGATCATCGTGGCACGACTGCTGAAAAGGAGAACCCAAAGGTGATGATGTCATTTTTCATAATATTCATTTCGTCAGATGCACAAACAATATCACTTTATTTCATATACAAAAATGAAAAAAATTATCGGAAGGATAGGTTGTTGAAGGTGGAGGATATAGAAACGGGCGGATAAAATATTTATCCGACCAGAAACTCATCGCGAGGTGCAATCTCCAATGTTCATCCAACCTCAGGCGACCGTGATCTAGAGCTTTTTGTTCTAGCTCATTGAAAGCCTGGTAGAAGTGACCTCTTTATTTCTGATTTACTTATATGTATGTCCCACTCAGTCAAGTTGCCCCGAATTCCGAACATCCAGCTAACAATCCCTAGATTGTGTTTGTACTATATAACAGTCTGTCCTTTTATTAACATTCTTTGCGCTATCGGCTTGTTTGGTTGTATTATATTGAGTTGGAGGTTCGAACTTGCCCGTTCAAGAGCAATTGTGCGACGCGACAGCTTCCGTTGGTCTATCCCCTGGCTTATCACTTCCAAGGTTAGACCGAATCACCATTCCATAAACCGACAACGTCCGGTTTTGCACATCTGAAGCTCGCAATTAAAAATTTGGGATCATCGGTGCCACTCGTCAATTTTGGCTTTCTCCCAACGCCTGCCGTTGTCACCATGATTGGCTCATTCGTGGCCCAGTTGTCCCTTCGGGCGAGCCGGCAGGGATTCCAAGTGCTATCCAAGAATGCACGTCTTTCTGGTCGGTCCAATGTGTTCAAGACTGAAGCTCTTCGGAGGGACGAATTCCGGTGTCTGTCTACATCAGGACAGTCGATGTTGAGCCGATTACAAACCGGGTATGGTCGTTTGTCGTGTCTTCATTTATTCAATTCTGACTGTCCACCAGAGGATTGAAACCTAGCTGCTTGCAGGCCAATCTGATTTCACCATCATTCTTCACCCAGCAAAGATGGTCCGGGTCAAAATCGCCAGAAAACAACACCCCTGAACAGTAAGTCTACAGCCTTCAAGCCGACATACCCAATATCCAAATGGGATAATGGTCATCCAAACTAGTGACTAACCCGGCGTAGACCTGAGGGATCCAAGAAAACCCCTATTCTATCACGGATTCCCCTGCCAACCTCTCACGAGAATATCTACACCGTGCCCAACATTCTCACGCTATCCCGGCTGCTCGCCGCCCCCGTGGTCGGGTATCTCCTAGTCCACAACTACCACACGGCAGCGTTATCCCTGTTTGCCTATGCCGGTATCACTGATCTCGTCGATGGGTACATCGCCCGGCGGTATAACCTCCAAACCGTGGTTGGAACCATCATCGATCCCATGGCCGACAAGCTATTGATGACCATTAGTGTCGCATGTCTGGCCGTGAATGGCTCCCTTCCGAGTAAGTATACTCCTGTTGATCACTTGGTGGTATGTGGACATGGACCTGGATTGACGCTCTGAGTAGTTTGGCTGGCTGTGATCATCCTCGGTCGCGATGTCGGTCTGAGTACCTCGGCTATCTACTACCGTTGGATTTCGCTGCCTGAGCCTAAGACTATGGCCCGGTACTGGGACTTTTCGCTTCCCTCAGCGGAGGTCAAACCTACTGGGATCTCAAAGATCAATACTGCCTTGCAGTTGGTGTTGGTGGGTAGTGCAATTGCACTGCCTGTGGTCCCTGAGGCGTTTGTCAGTGCCTGGCAGTTGAGCGAGGCGATGACTGGTTTCCAGTAAGTTTGATTTTTTCTTGTTTTATATATCCCCACTTTAATTCCTTTTTCACTTCTTTATTTTTCTTCAATCTGGAAGGCCGATCTCTGGTGCTCCACCCTAAGGCACCTTGGAGCTATGCCTACCACATACGACCACAGGGTGTGGAAAACAGGGCTTCCCGTCCGCTCAGCCGTACTTAAGCCACACGCCGGTGAGTTAGTAGTTGGGTGGGTGACCACCAGCGAATCCTCACTGTTGTATGTTTTTTTTTGATTTTTTTTTCTGGTTTCTAAATTCTACTTTCCACTGATTGCTGTTTCGTTTCATTGGTTCTTTTTTGCTGACCAATGCTAGGTACCTCGTTGCCGGTACCACCCTTTGGTCTGGACTCAGCTACGTCTTCTCCAACAGCGCTGTAAAGATCCTCTCCAAGGAAGAAATCCAAAAGCGAATTGTTCGAGCAGCTGCTAAACGTAAGTAGTGATCACAATCACTAGGCCGAGTCCGTGTTTACTTGTATATTATTCCAATGTTGGCTTTTTCAACACGAGTCAGACCGTCTCTTTGCAATGAGAATTGCACATATGTAGTAATATCCGACATGCATGTGATTTCTATGGATTTCCATCGGATTTAAAACAAACCACATAGATGCCCAACGGTAGGTGAAGCATGCATGACATGTGATCTATCTTCCACGACAACGTGGACATGTATGGGTTTGATCAGGGCTTCAAATGTTACCCGGGAATCCTGGAAATCAGTTCTGGAAATCAGATATGTGTAAGGGTTGGCATTTAAAAATGGCAATTGTACAAGATGCCATGGAGTGCTGACATTGTACTATTTATTAAGTCTACGTGATATGGAGAATAATACAGAACCCAGACCGTGCAGTGCTGAGCTCTCGGCGTGAATTTAGGCCCTGGTTCCGATATATTTCCAAGCTTAACTAAAATGTAGATCCCAGCCCAATTACGGGGATCCCTCTAATGTACACTTTGGGCCGAGTGGATCAGTGAGATCCGGGAAAGTCGCCGAACTACAGAAGCTCAAGGCAAGCGTGCCGATGGAATTTTGCAACATAGGGAGTTCAATCTTCCACACTTATTGTATTCCCTACCGGGTTTGACCTTATTAGATTTGTGAGCAAGATTGTTAATTCGTATTCTACATTAGAACTCAGAAAAAAAACAAATCTACAAAACCGGACTATATTTCCCAGCCCCACGTGCTTGCATAAGCCTCACGGCTGATAGGAAAGGATATTCTGATGACGAGTGATGTCAAACCAATGAAGTATCAGTATCTCAGCTAGTTCCTGGTCGACTTTATCTCCGTAAAGGCCCAAACCTGATTCACTTTTGAGTCATGTACTCCACTGCTCCAATGTAGCTCATTACAACTTTGGCTCATGATACCGTTCATTCATTCATGTTTGATTCTTAGGGAATATCCTTTTTTTTAGCGACTGACAAATGCCACCTAGGGTGCAGTGAATGCTGAGAGTTTCCGAGATAAAAAGGTCGAAATATCTTCTTTGCTCTTCTCCTTGATGTTTCATTAATAGTCCTGTTTCTTCCATTTCAATTTCCTTTTTTTTTCCATTCTCTTCAAATCCCATCCTCTGAGTAGGCTGGCTATAACATAATACATTGATCTGCTATTTGCCAGGGTTACCGGAAAATAGAACCCATCAGAATCCTAACATGGAGAAGCATTCTGAACAGTCACATCCCGTCTTGGGTTCCCAAGCCTATACTCAGTCTCTCAGGCAGCAATCCAGCTCAACTGGTGAGACCTATCACCATGATGCAAGCTTCGAACAACAAACCACGGAACAATTCCACAAGATTGCCGAAGCTCCCATCGACCCAACTTTAACCGACAGCTCGACTGTCAGCTCGACCATCAGTGAAGGTGATGGCCGCTGGGGAGAGAAGGAGGCTGGAAATGGCGTCTCTCGCAGTGGCGCCATGGAGGACATGGAAGAGATGCGCCGCGAACTCACCCGTCTCAGCTTGAACCGCACCCGTTCTGTCATCAAGAGCAATCGCCGTCGAAAATCGCCAGCCAACCACCGCGATGAAGAAAAGGTCACGGACGAAGAAGAGACCGAGGATGAAGCGGACGACAGCTTCAATCTGGGGGAGTTTTTGACTGGTGGTCATTTGGAGCGTCGCACGACCGCTGGCGAACCGGCCAAGAAGGTCGGCGTCGTCTTCAAGAACCTTACCGTGCAGGGGGTAGAGACTGGCGCCTCTTTCGTGCGCACTCTTCCCCAGGCTGTCATCGGTACTTTTGGCCCAGATTTGTATCATCTCGTCTGCACATTCGTGCCGCAGCTGCGGTTCGGCAAGCAACCGCCTGTTCGCGATCTGATCCATGATTTCAGCGGTGCTGTGCGCGAAGGTGAGATGATGCTAGTGCTAGGCCGTCCCGGTGCTGGTTGTACCACCTTCCTCAAGGCGATTGCGAACGACCGTGGTGCTTTTGTTGGTGTCCGTGGGGAGGTCAGCTATGGTGGTCTGTCATCTGAGGACCAGAATAAGCACTTCCGTGGAGAAGTCAACTATAACCCCGAAGATGACCAGCACTTCCCATCGCTCACCGTCTGGCAAACTCTCAAATTCTCCCTGATCAACAAAACTCGCAAGCAGGACCGGGAAAGCATCCCCATTATTGTTGACGCCCTGCTGAAAATGTTCGGTATCACTCACACCAGGAATACCCTCGTTGGTAACGAGTATGTCCGCGGTGTTTCTGGAGGTGAGCGCAAGCGTGTGAGTATCGCAGAGACCCTGGCCACCAAGTCTACAGTTGTCTGCTGGGATAACTCGACTCGCGGTCTAGATGCGAGCACTGCACTGGACTACGCCAAGTCCCTCCGCATCATGACCGATGTCAGCAAGCGCACTACCTTCGTCACCCTCTACCAAGCTGGAGAGAGCATCTACGAGCTCATGGACAAGGTGATGGTTATTGACGAGGGCCGTATGCTCTACCAAGGTCCAGCCCGGGAAGCACGACAATACTTCATCGATCTGGGCTTCTACTGCCCCGCGCAATCGACGACAGCCGACTTCCTCACTTCGCTCTGCGACCCCAACGCCCGCGAGTTCCAGCCTGGCCGTGAAGCATCCACTCCCAAAACCGCCGAGGTACTCGAAAACACCTTCAAGAATAGTCAGGCCCACAACCGTATCTTGAAGGATGTCTCCAGGTATGAGAAACTTCTCCAAGATACGCAGCAGGAGGACACGCGTCGCTTCCAATCCACGGTTGCACAGTCCAAGTCGAAGTCCGTTTCCAAGATGTCGCCATACACCGTCTCATTCGTCCGTCAGGTCATGGCCTGTGTACAGCGCGAGTTCTGGCTACTCCGGGGCGACAAAACCTCCCTGTGTACAAAGTACTTTATTGTCATTTCCAACGCCCTCATCGTTTCCTCCTTGTTCTATGGAGAGTCCCTCGATACCAGCGGCGCTTTCTCGCGGGGAGGTGCTCTGTTCTTCTCGATTTTGTTCCTTGGCTGGATGCAATTGACCGAGCTAATGCCGGCTGTCACTGGACGCGGCATCGTCGCCCGTCACAAGGATTACGCTTTCTACCGTCCCTCTGCGGTTTCTATTGCCCGCGTTATTGTCGACTTCCCTGCTATCCTCAGCATGGTCGTTCCATTCACGATTATCGTCTATTTCTTGAGTGGTCTCGATATCACAGCTTCCAAGTTCTTCATCTATTTCCTGTTCGTGTACATGACTACCTTCTGCCTCACCTCCCTCTACCGCATGTTCGCTGCGCTGTCACCGTCGATCGATGATGCGGTGCGTTTTGGTGGTATTGCTCTGAATCTGCTTGTGTTGTATGTCGGTTATGTCATTCCCAAGCAGACTCTTATCAAGGAGTCCATCTGGTTCGGTTGGCTGTTCTATGTCAACCCCATCGCGTACAGTTACGAGGCCGTCTTGACAAACGAGTTTTCCGATCGTGACATGGACTGCAATCCCTCCCAGCTTATCCCACAAGGTCCCGGCATGGATCCCCGATACCAGGGATGTGCTTTGACTGGGTCGTCATTGGGCGAAACATCTGTTACTGGAGTTCAGTACTTGACTGCCAACTTTGAGTTCACGCGCAGCCATCTATGGCGCAACTTTGGTGTTGTCATTGCCTTCACCGTGCTTTACATTCTGGTGACTGTCCTTGCTGCTGAGACTCTCTCATTCGTTGGTAGTGGGGGCGGTGCTCTAGTCTTCAGAAAGTCCAAGCGCACTAAGAAGGCCGCTGCACTGTCCACCAACGATGAAGAGAAGGTCGCCAACGCAAATGACAACGCCGCTCTTGCTCGTGGCCAGATCACTGCCAATGATGATGCTTCTTTCAATCGCCTGACCTCAAGTGAGCGTTGCTTCACCTGGCAGAATGTAGAATACACTGTCCCCTATGGCAACGGAACACGCAAGATCCTCAACGGTGTCAATGGTTATGCCAAACCCGGCGTCATGATCGCCCTGATGGGTGCCTCCGGTGCTGGAAAGACGACTCTACTCAATACCGTGGCCCAGCGCCAGAAGACAGGTGTGGTTACCGGCGATATGCTCGTCGATGGCCATGAGCTGGGTGCTGATTTCCAGCGTGGCACAGGTTTCTGTGAGCAAATGGATCTGCACGACAACACTTCTACTATCCGCGAAGCCTTCGAGTTCTCAGCTATCCTCCGCCAACCCCGCGATGTCTCACACAAGGAGAAAATTGACTACGTGGACCGCATTATCGACCTTCTCGAACTCGAGCATATCCAGGACGCCATCATCGGCTCTCTCAACGTCGAGCAGAAGAAGCGGGTCACCATTGGCGTCGAGCTCGCTGCAAAGCCCAATCTACTTCTTTTCCTGGATGAACCCACCTCTGGTCTCGACAGCCAAGCTGCATTCTCCATCGTCCGCTTCCTCAAGAAACTCTCTCAAGCCGGTCAAGCCATCGTCTGCACGATCCACCAGCCCTCCTCCATGATCATCCAGCAATTTGACATGATCCTCGCCCTCAATCCGGGAGGCAATACCCTCTACTTCGGCCCCGTCGGCAAAGATGGCACTTGCGTAGTCAAGTACTTCAGCGACCGTGGCTTCGACTGCCCACCCTCAAAGAACGTCGCCGAATTCATTCTCGAAACAGCTGCGAAAGCAACCCACCGCAACGGAAAACTCGTCGACTGGAATGCCGAATGGCGCAAATCAGACCAAAACCGCGAAATGCTCGCTGAAATCGAACGCATCCGCACAGAGCGAAGCCAACTTCCCATCGAGGAATCCGTCTCCGCCAATTACGAGTTCGCAGCCCCAACCTCAACCCAAACTCTCCAGCTAACAAAACGTCTCTTCAACAACTACTGGCGCGACCCATCCTACTACTACGGCAAACTCTTCGTCTCAGTCATCATCGGTATCTTCAACGGCTTCACTTTCTACATACTCTCAAACACAGTAGCCTCAATGCAAGACCGAATGTTCTCCGTTTTCCTAATCATCCTCATCCCGCCCATCGTCCTCAACTCCATTGTGCCCAAATTCTACGTAAACCGCGCCCTTTGGGAAGCACGAGAATACCCATCCCGCATCTACGGCTGGGTCGCCTTCTGCACAGCAAACGTCGTCTGCGAGATCCCTGCTGCTATTATTTCAGGCCTGATCTACTGGCTGCTGTGGTACTACCCAGTCGGATTCCCAACCGACTCTTCAAACGCAGGATACGTCTTCCTGATGACTGTCCTATTCTTCCTATTTCAGGCATCGTGGGGCCAGTGGATCTGCGCATTTGCGCCTTCTTACACTGTCATCTCGAACGTTCTCCCCTTCTTCTTCGTCATGGTCAATCTCTTCAACGGTATTGTCCGCCCTTACTCGGATTACCCCGTCTTCTGGAAATACTGGATGTACTACGTCAACCCGGTGACCTGGTGGTTGCGCGGTGTGCTCTCGGCTGTTTTGCCAGATGTCCAGGTTGAATGTTCATCGCTGGAAGCTACGCACTTCAACCCCCCGCCTGGAAAAACTTGCGATGCTTATGCTGCTGACTTCGTCAATTCTATTGCCAAGGCTGGGTACTTGGTTAACCCCCAGGCTACGGCGGATTGCCAGTACTGTCCCTACAAGGATGGCGAGCAGTATATGGCGAATTTAAATGTTCATGTTGGGGATAAGTGGCGCTGTTTTGGAATTTTCCTCGCTTTTGTGATGATTAACTGGGCTTTGGTTTATTTCTTTATCTACACCGTTCGTGTGAGAGGTTGGAGCTTTGGTATTGGGTCGCTGTTTGGTGTGGCTGGGTTGCTGAATGATCGTGTCAAGGGGTTGTTTAAGGGGGAGAAGAGTGAAGTCTAAGGCTTCAAAAATATGGTGATTCTCATATCTTGGGACCTTTTGCAGGACCAATTGCATTTACAAAAAGTGAGATATCATTTATAATAGAGCAGGCGATGCTTACGAGCACCAATTTAGGCGTCATAGCTGGATTTGTGTTTCATAAGTTCCAGTCAAATCACATTGCTTTTAGAATTTTTACTCTTTTTTCGACTGTATTGGTTTGACCATCACAGCATAATGCTATGGAGTTAATACATACAATGTTAATATCACTCCATTCATTCGTTTCCCATTGAACTAACCGAACCAAGCAACCCAGACAGCTCCTCCTACCCCGGATACCCATGACACGGATAGCGAAAATCTAGACTTTCACTGGACGTTGCAGACCTAGAGATATGTCTGACTTTGACGTAGAGGCCAAATAAAGCCAAGTACCAAGTTTCAAGGTCAAATCAAACCCCAAAGAAGAAGGGCCTCCGGCTCTCCGACAAGGGGACAGCGGGCACTCTCATCGGGACAGGAACGGTATCCCTAAATACCTCAACTGGTAGAGGAGCGGAAGGGATAGTTTCATTTGTTTCTGGTCCCTTGTCTTTCTTTTCAGCCTTCTTCTCATTGATGATAGGCACGACCACGCCGCATTCCCAGTTGCGACAGTTCATTTTCAGCTGTTTCGTCTTGGGGTCCTTAACGATCCGACCCCTATTTCAGGTTAGTTTCATCATTATGAAAATTGGGATCTAGGGATGTGCTCACCATGCACTCTCCGACAAATTCGCACTCCCCACATAAGCCCAACCCCGGCACTCCTTGTTATCAGGCATCTCGATCGGGGTGGAAGGATGAACGAAGGCAAGCTTTATGCCGAGAACATGTATTAGCATTGATGCAATCTAGCCATCCCATAATCGGAAATGCGTACCTTGTTGTGCATCAAGACTCCACGGTCACTGACACAATCTCTAAGCGTGTCTCGCGGGAAATTGGCACCCGACCACCAAACTGGATTGAAGCATATCGTGCCAATAACGCTTTTGGCATTCCTGTGCACTTCTCGTGCGGTCTTTTCTGATGGGAAGTAAACACGGAAGTGATCGAGACACTCCTGGTTATGCGCTTCCACTTCCGTGCAGGGTTCCTTTTTCTTGTTTGCGGTTCGGAGCTCATAGTCTAGTAGAGCGTTGTCACCTATGAGTTGGAGAGTTGATTAGGTTAACTGGTATTGGGGTTTGAATAATAGTGGCGTACCTTTACAAGCGAGGTAGATTGAGCGCAGGAATGGTGTATTGATATTTCCCAGCGACGAGGCCTGAGGGTGCTGTTAGTATGCCTAGTTTTGTGTTATATGCGGATGTATCGCAATTGAAGAAACTTACGACGTAGTTGACATTGATGGGTGCGTTTGTCTCTAGACCGAGGGCTTTGATAGCACGACCCAAGCCGCTGAATCCAGTGCGCTGCCATTTGTCTTCAGTGTTGGATCCGCCACTTTTATTGTCAGCTGGTGGCTAGTGTTTTGATAGGGGAATTGGCCAGGGAAAAAAATTACATACACTGTATGAACAAATGCATAGCGCTTCGTCTCGCTGAAGTCAAACTCATCTAGCTTTTTGATGATGTTGTGGTGGAGTTCGGACGCCTGGAGGAAGTAGACTAGTTCTTCATAGAACGGGGTCCTTCCGGCATCAGGAACATCGAGTTTGGGAAGATCGATAAGGAATACAGTCTGTAGAATATTAGAAAATCCAAGAATTTGAAGTCAAATGTGGTGACTTGCGTTTTCCATAAGCCCATCCTCTCCCCAGTCAGTGGGTGTGAGATTTGCAGAGGGGACTGCGATGCGAAGGTATCCAGGGTGGAACAGCAAAAGCAGTTTAGAATGCATGCAGATTACCTGGGGCTCCATGGGTGGGAAACACAAGCGAAAATTGGGCATGTTGCTAACGTCCTGACGATATTGCTTTCGCTGTAAACGCAGTCAAGTTAGTTCGTGTCATTCAAGGTCATAGTGTGTTGCTAACCGTTTCTTCGTCATTTGCTTGCATCACAAATAAGATACGTGTGGCTGAATTGTTAAACTTCGAATAAAGCCACGGCATGTCCCACATAAATGAGCTAAATACGCCCAGTTGCAAGTCATCTCGCTGGATGACTTCTTCAATAGTGATTTCATTCCCATTACGAGGGAAACCAGTGATGTGGGTTTTCTTGACAGCCCCAAGAGGCCATTGGGCCACCGAGCGGGAGGTCGGTTGGATGTTAATATTCGGGGCATTCGATGCAAGCTGTCGACAGACCTCGGTGCAAGATCTCACTCGAAGTGTGCTCATTTGAGGGGCAGATTGGAACGGATTAGGCAGAGCAATGGAGTGACGGACTGATGAAGGCTCGGTCCTCGGAAGCTTCCGGCTTGCTTGAGATGGTGGAGTAGACGAGCTGTCGTCAGCCTTGCGCTTGGCGAGACGTGCAAGACGCTCCACCTCCATCTGCTTTCGGTTCATGCCCATTATTGAACCAGCCGAAACTACAGACTCCTCATGCGGGCCAGTTGCATGGCTGATAGGCGGTACATGCTCCGGGATTTCGGTCTTGTCATTAGGCTCCATCGACATAGCAAGAGCACGTTGTAGCTGCTCATGCTCGTGGTCATCCTCAGTCTCGGAACTCACCACAGACTTTGACTTGGGAAACACCTCTTCAATGTCCGAGTCGTTGCCCGAATCATTGGTTAGATCCACAAAATTGGACGCCTGGGATGACACAAATCTGTTCTGCTGGCGATACATGTCTCGGCGAGAAGCCTCAACGGCAGCAGCTAACTCAGGATCCACTAGTGGCTCCATCATGCAGAATTCCACAAACCCCGAAATGCAGGTTTTCTTTTGGGAAAGGAAGGGAGATAAAGATGAAGGGATTTAGAAAGATGCGGATGGGAGATGCTAAAGTAATGTTTGATGTGTGGAGTATGTGACCGAAGGAAGATTTTAAAATGCGAGAATGCGAGAATTTACCTGCGGACTGGCACTGACTGGACTCGCATTGACTAACAAATTCATATGTTCAAAGGTTTAGAGGTTTGTGATTGTACCAACCCACAAATCTGACTCTGTTCACGTTCTTCCTACCGGTGTCGTCCCCGTATGGAACCCCTGTTTGTTCAATGTTCACCACGTGACTGGTCATGCCGCAATATCAAGAGTGAATCTCCACTTGCTACTCCGTCTGTGTCGTACTTTTTGTCCCATGTCTAAATGCTTGGTGGTATCTAGTTCCTCTGGTATCTTATATAATAATTGAAATGGTGCAAAGCTCCTTGAGGATTTAATACAATGACCAGGCTATGCTTGGCCAGTAGCTAAAAAAAAGATCGTCAAGGTCAAAGTATACCATGCACGGCCTGCTCAATTCCTTCATAGGGGAATCCTCACGATTTTGTATTCAACAAAATGTCGTCTTCCTTGTTTTAAGGTCGGTGCACGGTGGTTACTCCTGATATGTAGCCTTGAGTTGTTCCCATTCACACGAAAAAGACATACATTGCACACGAATGCCCACCATTGCCTACTAAAAACATTGAGATAGACCCAACTCCGAACCGATAAATTATCTCTGGAGGATTTTCAGACGAAAGAAGCCGTAGCATCTGTAAATACTGAAGACACAAGATTGTAGGAATATATGTGGATAAATCTGTTGGGGCAGCGCTGAGACGCCTGGCTCGGCGACGACAACATTGTCCCTCACGATCCTTAATCCCCTCAGGACCCTTCATCTCATCTCACACCTTCATCACGCATGACCATCACTTAATGGAGAGAATTAAGAAAACTGTTCTTCGCATCAAAGCGGGTGTTCCAGCCACGCGTGAGCGTATCCGAGGAAGAATTTTGACTATGCGCAAGCTTAATAAAGCGACAGCTTCCAAGGTCCTGGCTTCCGAAATCATGACCGAAGAGGTCCTGGTATCCGAAGTCTTGGTTGAAGATGTGATTGAAGAGACCCCTTATGCATCCAACCAAGTCGTAAATTCAACTTCGGAAGTACCAGCCTCGGAGGCCCCGGATTTGCCAGCTTCAGCTATCCCACGCGCGTCCGACCAGGTAGTGGATGCTGTCCGAACATCCAAGAAAACGTCGCACGCATAGTAAGTTATGAAACCATGGCCGCGATGCCACCACAAAGTCCATTTGATCTGACAAAGTGCCAGTTCCGATACTCCACTTTTCTACATTTGCAAACTTGCTGAGGATACCTTCAAAGACATGCTCTGGTTGCAGTTTGGCAAAAAATGGGAATCGTTCGAGATCAGATTCCTAGCAGACATAGCAAAATACCCCCCGGACGTGATGGTTGACAGAAACAGCCCATGCCCACTCGAGTGGCTGCCAGTGGAGGTTCGCGCGACAATTTGGAAGTACGTTTTTGACGACGGCAATGAGGCCATCTTCGTCAAGAAGGATGGGATGACCCCAAAGCTTCCAACTTCCATGCGATTTGTATCGTTCGACTGGGCTTCAGAGGCCTGGTTTGGATACATAACTTCGCTGAGAAATCGGACTCTGGTTGTAATGGATTTCCCCCAGCACGGCTACCTTGCCCCACATTTCCCAATCTTCCAAGAACTGTCCACGGTCCGAATTCGAGCGATTAAATTCGCACTGGGTGACAATGACCCTGAGAAGGCTAAGGAACGCACTCGCGATTTTATCAGGTTCATGTTAAAACACAAAAACTGTGGATTTCTCGCTCTTCACACTCTGATTGTCGAATTGAGAAGCAACTGGGAAACTGAGGACTTCACCGAGATGACTCTCGCCGAACTGTTGGTATGCGGCGCATTTGTTGAGATCGAAAGAATCCGGATCCATGGACATGTCACAGATGAGAAACTGAACCGGCTTCTGGAGCGAGCCCGAGAGATCGCGCAGGTCTCGTTCTGATGGCCACCTTACTCTCAGTCAGAGATCAGACTCTGATGATTTCATAGGCATTGCAAAGCCAGATCAACAATTGCAAAAAATGAATCTCTATCAGCAATTGACTTTCCAAGGCCAAGGCCAACAAGTAGTAATCTCTTTTCACTAGGTGTTTTCATTGCAATAGCCGTAGCAATCTGACGAGCAAGTAGTTGACCGGATGTATCTTGTCCTGGAGAGTAGCCACCTAGTAAGGTAGTGGTGGTTAGGCTTTTGAGGGGTAAGAGAGTGTCGTCGCCCTCAGCGAGGGTGTGCATGCCCTCAGTGCCTGGGTTCTGGTTCTCCATCGGCACATGCAACTATAAACCGTTAGTGAACTTTTTCTGAAGCAAAATTCAATATTACACACCCAATGTGCTAATCGTCCTGCCTGTGAGATTGTGACCATGATTTTATCGCTAAAGCTCATAATCACCACGTCTGTTTGTATGCCATTGACCAACCCCGCGATCTGCTTCGTGGTAGCAGGAAAAGGTAGGTTAAGGGAATTCTCCAGAGGGCTTGTGTCAAAGGATTCAGCCATGGTGATTTGAAGTAAGAGTCTTTGTTAGAATACTGAAAATAAAAAGAAGAACATGGGTTAGGTTAGCTACAAAGGTATATCGGAGTTCACATCCATCCGTAGGCGGCTAGTTTCACCGCCTCAAGCCAAGCCGGCAATATCCGACCGCCCTAATTTTTTTTTGATGAAGAAACAGTTGGATTGCCGAGGATACATGCTCAGTCAAATATCTTATCTTCTCAGCTAGAAGGGGCTGCAGTAATCCAAGATGCCTCCCAAATTTACACCACGTCTGAGAAAACAAAGGCACCGGCAAAACCCAGACGGCGAGTCGACAGATACCAATGTCGCTCAGCTCCAGCCCGTCTCCAAGGACGAGAAAGAGGCCCGGCGACAGAAGCTGAGGGGAGAGCTACAAGAGCAGCATCCCCAGATGTCTTCAAAGAAGCAGAAGCGCTTGGACAAATACATTGTACGTGGATAGCCGCAGTAGAAAGATATGGCCCTAACATTCCCGCAGGAAAACAAACTCAAGAAGGAAGAAAATGTCGAATTGTTGAAAAAGCTAGCGCAGTCTTCTGTCGATACTTCATCTTTAAAGAGCTCCCGAGATCTTTCTAAGCGCAAGAGACAGGGTGACGACATATCTGCACCAACCATTTCCACGCCGAAACACAATGCTCCTGCAGACATCTCGGGATATGATACCGACGATTCGGATATCCACCTGAAAGTGTCCAATCCTGCAACAGATCCCGATGAACAAAAGTTACGAGAAGAGGCGGCTGCTGGAAGTGGACTTAAACGACCATTGGAATTAGGAGCTGATGGATTCCCTGTTCTAAAGAAGCGGAAGCGCGCACCGAAGAAGAAACCCGCACCTGCACCAGTAAAAGCAGAGGTTGCATGGGAGGGCTTTGATTCGGATGAGGAGGAGGGAGATGTAGAAGAAGAAGAAGAAGAAGATGATGATGATGAAGACGGTATGGACGAGGAGTCCGAAAGTGAAATTGAAGAGGACTCGGAAGAAGAAGATACTTCGTCCTCTGAAGACAATTCCCCAGATGAGGATGAGGAAGACTCAGAAGAATCAGAAGATGATGACGAAATGGACGAGGATAAGCCAACGCTCAAGACCCGCCAGTCGGCCTTCAAATCTTGGGCGGTACAACAGATCAACGAAGCCGCAGGGTTTAAACCCACCGAGGGAGCGGTGACCCAGGAAGAGCAGGTTTTCGATCCATCTAAGTTGCCAGCAACGCACAATACCACCCAAGAAGAACCTCTCCCCCGGGAGCTTCAGGTGACTCATGGCGATCCTAATCGCAAGGCCTACAGTGTTGCGGTTGACCGTACGGAGGAAATCCAAGCTGCTCGTCTTGGACTCCCTGTTGTTGGTGAGGAACAGAAAATCATGGAGGCAATCCACAACAACTCAGTTGTCGTTATTTGGGGTGCTACCGGAAGTGGAAAGACAACCCAGCTTCCCCAGTTCCTCTTCGAATCCGGCTTCGGCTCCCCAGGCAGCCCTAATCCGGGTCTTATTGGTGTCACTCAGCCTCGCCGAGTCGCGGCCGTGAGTATGGCGAACCGCGTTTCTCAAGAGTTGGGTCAACATGCCGAGAAGGTTTCTTATCAAATCCGATTTGAGTCTACGGCATCCAAGAAGACAGCCATCAAGTTCATGACTGATGGTATTCTTCTACGAGAGATCGCAGATGACTTTGCCCTTCGCAAATACTCTATCATTCTTATTGATGAGGCTCACGAGCGCAGCGTCAACACCGACATCCTGATTGGAATGGTCAGCCGTATTGTGGGCCTACGCAAGTCTTTGAGCGAGGAGGACCCGTCTGTCAAGCCTTTGAAGGTCGTCATCATGTCAGCCACTCTCCGTATTTCGGATTTCACCGAAAACCCAAGTCTTTTCCGTGATGGTGCTCCTCCCCTGGTTCAAGCTGAGGGTCGCCAATACCCTGTTGCAGTTCATTTCTCCCGCCGCACACAGCGTGACTATGTTGAAGATGCTTTCCGCAAGGTTTCACGTGGACACCGCAAACTACCCGCCGGTGGAATGCTTGTGTTCTTGACTGGCCAGAATGAGATCCGGCAGCTTTCTAAGCGTCTGAAGCAGGCATTCAAACCTACTCAGCGGGAAGACACGACACAGGCAAAGGTGCAGCTTTCAGCTACTGAGGCACCTCTGGAAGCAGAGGACCTGGAGTTGGGCGGCACCGAGATGGATAACCCAGGACATGATGATTACGACAGTGACATGGAGATCACCGGACTGGATGACGCAGAGGAAGATGAAGGCTTCGAACTTGCTGAAGGGGAAGAGGCCATGGACTCGTCAACTCGCGTTCACGTCTTGCCTCTATACTCCCAACTTCCTACGAAAGAACAGATGAAGGTTTTTGAGCCAGCCCCTGAAAACTCCCGACTGATCATCCTCGCAACCAACGTCGCCGAGACATCTCTCACCATCCCCGGTATCAAGTATGTCTTTGACTGCGGTCGCGCCAAGGAGAAGCAGTTCGATCTCTTCACGGGGGTCCAGAGCTTCCAGGTCGGCTGGATCAGCAAGGCAAGCGCAAACCAGAGAGCTGGCCGAGCTGGCCGAACAGGGCCTGGTCACTGTTACCGAATGTACTCATCTGCAGTCTATGAAAGCGAGTTCGCCGAATACACCGACCCAGAGATCCTCCGCACTCCCATCGAAGGTGTTGTCCTCCAGATGAAGAGCATGGGTCTTCACAACGTGATCAACTTCCCATTCCCCACACCCCCGAGCCGCCAGGGTCTTGCAAAGGCAGAGAAACTGCTCAAGAACCTCGGTGCCCTCACAGCCGACGGCCAGGTAACCCCCATCGGCCGTCGTCTCTCGACATACCCCCTCTCCCCCCGGTTCAGCAAAATGCTCCACATCGGCCATCAACACGGCTGCATGCCCTACGTGATTGCCCTAGTTGCGGCCCTAGCAGTCGGCGACCTCTTCGTCCCAGAGAACCAGCTCGACCCGAACCAACCCCTGCCCACCACAGCCAAGAAGCAAGTCGACGACGACAGCGACAGCGACAGCGACAGACGCAAGGTCTACACAAACGCAGACCGACTCAAAGACGACGAGCGTGCCCAACGCAACAAAGCATACGCCCGCGCCCAACGCCTCTTCAGCAAACACGACGACACCTCCGACGCTCTAAAGTCCCTCTCTGCAATTTGCGCCTACGGCTACGCCTCCGACGGTGACTCCTTCAGTGAGAAAATGTTCCTCCGCGCAAAGGCCTTCAAAGAAGCAACCCAGCTCCGTCGCCAACTAACCGACATCGTGCGCTCAAACAACCCAGGCCTAGTCCCCGCCTACGAAGCCCGTCTACCAGAGCCCTCTTCTAAGCAAATCAAGGCCCTCAAGCAGATCGTCACGGCAGGTTTCATCGACCACGTCGCTATCCGCGCTGATCAAGCACCCGTCCCGCCGGAGAACCCGCGCACCCCCCGTCGCGCCATTGACGTACCTTACCTGACGCTCTTCCGTTCCCGGGACGGCAAGGGTGAGGATCTACAGGAACGTGCTGTTTACGTGCATCCATCTTCGCTGCTTGCTAAGCTCTCGCCGAAGGAAATGCCAAAGTATATCACCTATTCGCATCTCCAGCAGTCTTCGGCTTCTCTGGTCTCGGACCAGGTGCCTAGGATTAGAATGTTCCCGCTTGTTGTACCTAGTGGGTTGCAGCTTTCGGCGATTGCGCACGATACACCGCTTATTGAGTATGGAAAGCCAATTGGTAAGGCTGATGCTATTGAGGGTGTACCGCCGCGCAGATCTTGCTGGGTTATTCCTTCTTTGGTTGGCGATGAAGGTGGTGTGGGTTGGCCGATGCCTGCTAAGAAGGTTGTGCAGAAGAAGGATGCGAAGCAGGGTTGGGTCATAGAAAAGTTTGTGGCATAGGTACTGGTTTTGGTGTATTATAGATGAGGTTATGATATCCAATTGTTCACTTCTTTGCATTGAAGAAGATTACACAACACAATATGGACAAATATGAAATGAAAGATACTTGTTCATGTCTCCCAATTTGCATGATAATCCCACAAACCCCCCAACACCGATCAACGCCATTACTTGAGAAGAAAGACGATTGGAGAAAAAAAAACAAGTCAAGACGTGATCTAATCCCTCCTCTTCTCCCGATAATCCCTTGAACTAGAAATCTCCCCCGTCTCCCGATCCTCCCTCAACCCAAAAGCCCTCCGTAACCTCTCCGTCTCCTCAATCTTCGCCTCAGCAAGCTCATGAACCTGATAAGACTTGAGATTGCGTCTATCCCTCCCTGCCGCAGCCCCAGCCCCAGCCCCAGATCCAGCGAACGGTTTCTTGAATCCCGACTCTGAGCGCTTCAAATCCTCCTCGAGCTTCACCAACAAGAGCTGTCGAAGAGCATCACACCGCTCATCAATCTCCTCTTCACTAAGCACCTTCTCCCCCTCATCCGCTTCGCCATCCTGCTCCTTCTTGCCCTCGCTCTTCCCTTTATTCTTCTTATCTGCCTCTTCTTCAATCCGCTCATTCTCCTCTTCCAGGCGCTCCCGCTCCTCCATCACCTTCACCTCGATCGCACGCTTGCGGTCGTGCTCGAGGATCTGCTTGTCCGGCACTCGCTGCTTGAACGGTCGGTCCATGGTGCCGCTGCCGTTCGCGCCGCTGATGGGTGGATAGGGAGCACCGTAGCCTGTGTTGCGGGGTTTGAGGAGAGCGGAGTTGCGCTGCACATAGCCTGATGTGCCGCTGCCGCGCGGGGTTGTGAGGCCGACGTTGGAGGACATTTGTGGTTATTGGTGTAGCGTCTTTCAATTTTTCTTTTTGGATGATTGTATGTGGGTTTTGTGGTAGTGATATTGCTGGACAGTCGTGGGGGTTGGTTTGGCGGGATTGAGAGAGAGCTCGGAGCTTGCCTGAATGCCGACTCTAGACGTAGAATCTTTCGAGCTCGGATTGGGAGTTCAGCGAAAACGGTTGTTTTTGTCAACACCGCGAGCCTTGGTCCGTTGACGCGTAGAGAAACAATGCTGCTCACAGAGTCGAAGTAGAAGTGGAAGTGTAGACGCCCTCTACTAAAATGCGCCATCTTATCGGACATCACGGGACTATAGTCACGTGTGATATGGTGTGAGGTCATGTGTCTGGATCCTTGGAGCGATATAATTCCGTAGTTAAATCAGGCCACTAGTTAACATTGATAATCTGGTACCGACCCTTCAATAACATGACTCCTAACGTATTTCACTACCGAGCTAGACACCCCCACTAAACCATATCAATTACTTTAAACCCTACTTCTTCAACCACCCACTATGCTAGACTTCGGCATAACCCACTCTAACCCGGACCTAACCCAACCTAACCTATCCTAAAATGGGGTTTAGGTCTACTGCTTCGACCTAACGATAGGTAACCTATTAGGGCCCTAACATAGTGTAAACTAGATAAATAGACTTTTAGCGTATAACTATATAGTTAACATATTTTTTACTTGTAATATTAAGTATTTTACTTATAGCTAGGCCTTGACAAGTCCCGCAGCACCAGTGCTACGGCAGCACTAGGCCTTTGGTTCGGTGCTGCAGCACCAAGGCTTGGCAGCACCAGACACTTAGTTCGGTGCTGCAGCACTGTAAACAGTGCAAACACGACTAACCTCGTGATATAGATAAGTTATGTAGAATGTCACGGTGTGAACCGTAATGCTTAGTAAAAGGAAGATCACGACACGTGATCTCCGACCTGTTTATCTTGAACTTCAGTTCTAGATCCTGTTGTAGCTCTTCGAGCTACGTCTTGTATATTAGCCTGCCCCTGCCTGTGCCTGTACCTGTCAATGAGAATCTGATCTGTTACGACCTGTCCCTGCCAGTCATCTCCTATCATACCGTCCTGCCAGCCCGCACCCTGACATAGAAAAGCCAGTAATTTTAAGGGTATTTTGTTTAGAGTAAACAGGGAATCTAGAAAATTTCATTATTATATTTATTTAATTATTTGCGCTTTATTTAGTCCTCTTAGTGTATTCAATATTATCACTCCTAGACTTCCGCAAAGCTCGAAAAGCTCCAAAAGCTCCAAAAGCCCGAAACCCGACCCGACTCGACCCTCAAAAGGTTCGGGTTTCGGGCTTTTGGAGCTTTCGAGCTTTTCGAGCTTTGCGGAAGTCTAGCTCTACGTAGATCTATAGAGAGGATCTATTTCTAAAGAGATTCCTCTTCAGTATCGGTCAATTTGTGAGAGTTAGCGTAAGAAATCGCGCGGTGTTATATACCATTTAGGCGGGTAGAAAGGGTGGATCTTGGGACGTTAAAACGGCGCGCTACGTCACGAATTGAAGAGATTTCTTGATTCTTAAAAGCCTGGATAGCTAGTAAGATCCTACCCTCCTACTCTATTGAATTTCGAGAGTATTGAGTACAAATTGGTGGCATGGTGGGTGATTGAACTAACTAAGATCTAATTCATGGACGCGTTTTGGTTGGGGTGGCCAGCTCGCTTGCCGAATACGTTAGTTACTCCTGATGGATTATTTAAGACCACTTAACCGCGAGGCCAAAAGATCAAAAGGATAAACAGAACAATTGTTTGTCTTTGCAGTGGCATATAAATTAGGCCCTAACACCCGTTAGGGACTATAGCGACTGCTTGGCCTGTGCGATGTCTTGATATCTCTTCAAGTGTGTTGAAATGTTTTTTTTGATGTTATCAACTGAAGCCCAAGTGGCCGAAATGCACTTCAATTCTGCCCATTGAGGCATTTTCTAAAGGGCGCTAAACATACTACGACATTCACAATGACACCGGAGCAATGTTAAGAGTCAAGTCATAATGCATTGATAATACAGCCACTAGCAAGGGGAAGAAAAGAGAAAGCACTAAATTATCAGCCGGCATAGCAACCCGAAAACAAGTACGAAGTCCACAAGAGGCTAGAAGCTGTGTCTAGCTCCTCAAAGCCAAGCGAAATCTCCATGCGGACTTCGAAGCACAGAAGCAGGAACACCTTTGATTAAAATACCTTGATGAGAGCGAAAATCCGCGGAGCTCAGGATCAGGAATGATAGCCATGGCTTGAAATATGTTGACTTGACCAGAGAGTGGCAAAAGACATGTGTGAAAGAGATAAGTGGAAGGTAGTTCTGAGTAGATCATGCAGATACCATGGCACAAGGTAACTGCTGTGCAAAGTGGTTGATTTGATTCTTTTCCTCGTATTTTCTGTTGAATCGAATGTGAATGTGGAGGGTCCGGCTCCATGCTATGGGCATTTGCGCTCGGAAAATCATGAAGAGCGAAAGATCAGATCCGTTCCCCCCTTTCCAAGCCGATTGCCAATTTTTTTTAACCCTCCTCCCCCCTCCCCCATCACATCCTAAACCCCATGACAAATAAAATGAAATGAAAGAACTGGTGAGAACAAAGACGCCGGAGCCACTTCGATTCTCGGACCTGGATCTCGTAGCGAGAAGCGTTGACAATGATTCACAGGCACAATCGTAAGAATAAATGAACATGTCAAGAGAAGAAGCAAGGACAAATAAGGTAAGACAGGAAATAAGTCGGCGGTCCGAGATCGGTATCGAAATCAACACAAGAAAGAAAAAGAAATAAAGGAATAAAAACATCCCAGGCCCTCAATGTTGCGCCGTCAAAGCCATGGTCAAATAGGGGAGAGTCACATAGACGTTGGTGGCATATATCCCGTCTGGTTCCCCTGTATGTATACGCCCCATAGTAGATAGAGAAGTAGAAGTCACTCGGCTCAGGTCAAATCAGGATTAGAAAGATTATGTTGGGCAATCAAGACAAAGTGTGCAACGAATTAGTGAGCACTGGTGACATCGACCGGGACGGTAACACCGGTGTTGCCTGTCTCGGGACTCGAAACCGAGGTCACAGTGCTCTTAGCGAGGGCTTTCGACTCGAGGGTGGTGTCGACGGTGGGCTGGGCATCCGTCGGGGGAGGTGTGGGTGGAGCGTTGCCGACAAAAGGGGCCCGGGGCTGTTCAGTGGGGATTGAGCGCTTGGCAGGTTGCGGGGAGGATTTGTGAGAGTGAGGGGGAGTAGTCGAAGTGGCGTGAGGCAGTGGACCGGTCGCAGAAGAAGTGGGGTCGAAGATGAGCTTCTCGATTGCGACAATCTGCTTGCCATAGCTGAACTTCTTCAGCTGGCCAAGAAGGGGCTTGATCTGATCGATGAGAGCTTCACGCTCGACATGTTTCAGTTGGCCAAGCACTTTCTCTGTTGATGGTAAGCATAATACACTCTGAATGGTAGGGTTAAACTTACGAATGACATAGTTGCCATATTGGTCACGCATGAGGCCAAGGAGAGGACTCTCACCGCGATCGTTCGCAGAGGTGAGGGTGCTGATGATGTGGATACGTTCATGTTCAGCACCGAACTCAATGCTCTTTTCAACCACGTTGCTAGCAAACTTGTGCTTGGAGTAAGCGAGGAGCTGTCCCATGACAATGTCGATCATGCGAGTGCGATCCTTCTCGTCGCCGTTCTCAATAACGTGCTGGATCACATAGTTGCCAAACTGGTCAGGAATCAGATTGGAAGTGCAGGCATGAAGCTCAGCCAGAATGGACTGGCGATCGACCTCCTCACAGTGCTCAAGCATTCTTTGGATGACGCGGCAGCCATAAGGATGGGCGGCGAGCCTGTTCACCTGGCCGCGGAAGGCGTTGATAATGAACTGCACGTGTTGCGAAGGAACACGCTCAATGGCCTTCTGGATGACATGGTTGCCATTCTGATCACGAACACACTTGAGGACATGGTTCTCCAGTTCTTTGACCATCGCAGCTTGCTGGTCAGTTAGGATGTGCTCCAGGGCCTTCTGGACCACTCGGCATCCATACATCTGAGTCGACAGGGCCAATACATGACCGCGCATCTGGTTGGCCAATATCTTCTTCTGGGTCTGGTTGCCGTGTTCAAACAACTTCTGGACGACGTAGTTGCCAAAAACATCAGTCATCAACTGAAGACAGTTGGGCTGGATCTCCCGGAACACCTGCTCCTTCTCGTCGCTATTTGCGGTCTCAAGCTTCTGTTGAATGAAGCGAGAGCCGTGCTGATCACCACTGAACTCCACCACATGATTGTATATGTCCTTCAACTCGTATCGCTTGTTCCCCTTGCTGTTGGCCCTGAACTCTTCGAGAAGGGGGCTGCGGACAACCTGGGTGGGATCATGCTCGCGCTGGGCGCGTGAAATCAGAGCAGCAGCACCAAGTCCACTCAGATTGCCTACTGGGTAAAATCCGGAGATAGCATTCAAACGAGAAGCCTGGTAGGCTTGGAAATCGTAAGAAGGTGGGTACTGCATCCGCGCTGCACCTTGGGCAAGCTCCTGCTCTTGGAAACTTCGCAGCCTGCGCTCAAAGGCAGCCACTTGGCTTTCACTCACACTCGCGTTGCGGTATTGAGCGGCGGCCGCGTCCACGCCGGCGTAGATAGGGCTATCCATGCGGACATAGTCCGAAGGTGAGATAGAGCCGGTGTTCGCAGCTCTGGACCGTGCGTGGTAGGCAAGCTGCAGCTCCTGTACGGCTTCTGCGGTGTATCCAAGTGCCTGGTAAGTGTCTTCATTGTTCTGATACTTTCCACGCTGGAAGGAGCCATCAAAAGATGCATGAGGAATGAACGAAGGTCGCGGAGTTACTTGGGAGGGGTAATTAGCTTCATTGAGCTGCAACTTGTTAAACCCTGCGCTGAGGTCCATCGAGCCACTGCTGTAGCGGCCATCAACGCTATGATTGTCGGAGTA